GAGGGCGGGAGGGATGAATGCATACATGTATGTATATATGCATGTATGTTTGTATATATATATATATATATATATATATATATATATATATATATATATATATAATATAAATATATAGGTGTTGTACTTGGAGGGATTTATTTACTTGCTTCATATCAAAGAAATGACGAGATATGGGGAATTATGCCAGACAATAAATCGTACTGTAATTGTTGTGTAATTGTTGTGTAATTGTTGTGTAATTGTTGTGTTCATGTGTCGTAACCAGTAACAATAACCAAAACTCTTTCTTCCCAGGCTTCGGCCAAATTTCGGCCCCTCCAGCCAATCGCCGCTGCTCAATGATGACCTGCCCAACAGGATCATCTGTGGGTCCATCCAGATCAAGACAGACATCCAGCGGTTCACCAGCACAGGGGTGGAGTTTGTGGACGGGACATTTGAGGACAACATTGATCTGGTCATCCTAGCCACCGGCTACTCCTTGAGTTTTTCTTTCATTGAGAAGAAGGTGCGCATTTGCCATAAGGTTCCTACAGGTTCATCACACTTGGTGACCTTATCTTCGTCTGCTTCTTCGGTTTCACCGGCTGTAATCTCTAGGTGTTATTTCACTTCCCAATATTAGTCTTGTTCCAGAACCCGAGTGTTATGTACATTTCTGTTACACAGAACTGGCTTATTTGAATGCAGTCTCTTAGCTCCTTCCCTCTCAGACAGATGTACTCCCACTTCGAAGAATGCCCCTCCATAAGGTGACCTCTCCAACATGCTTTCTCTGCGGCAGTGGGTCTATTCTTGTTTTCCCCCCACAATAAGGCCCCAGAACCTAAACAGGGCGTTGATGGATCATGTAACTTCTGAACAAATACAGATCAGCTGTTTAATATCTTCACCCCCCCCCCCCCCCCCCCCCCCCCCAAAAAAAAAGAGCTTTGTTCCCAGCAGACCCAGCCTTGAGTGGGTACCAGGTGAAGTGCTGGGAAGTAAACACGACCCATGTGATTTTGACCCCATCACCCACCAAGTGACAATTGACCTATAAAATATAGTTCTAGCCCTATAAGCACAGTATGACTGAAGGCTCGGACAAGAGATCCTTTGCTCAGTAATGATATCAGGAACGTAAGGTGCGCAGCAGTAGCAACATCAACAGCGCGGATATTCTGATTGCGCTAACATAGGTTACAGTAACAGCAGCTACTCTCCGGTTTGTTGCTGGTAGTTCTTGTGTTGAGTTTATTCAAGAATCAACATCACAGCATTCACTTAAGCGCACCGTCTCCATATTCAGCAGCCACAAAAAAAAAGTTATAATACCAATGGTACTAGTAGCAGTCTGATGATACGTGCCGTCTTGCCTTTCCTCTGAGCTTCAAGTATTGCCCAGATCCCCTCGTCACTTCCGCTGTATCACTTACCAAACTGTGATGACTCATGTGCCCCTTTGAACTATACACGTGCTCCTACAAGGTCATTCTTATAATACCATAGTATTCCACCAGGTTTTGCAGAGCCAGCTAGTCTGTCCGTCTGTTCATGTTCCAACACACCGGCTAGCACGGAGAGACGATCCGAGCAGTGCTCTTGACCCGAGACCTCTGAAGCTAAGCATGCCACTCTGCACGAAGCATACATATCCCTTAAATCACAATCTGTGTGTGTGTGTGTGTGTGTTGTGTGTGTGTGTGTGTGTGTGTGTGTGTGTGTGTCGTGTTCTCTAGCCAATAGAAAGCTGAAGTGACAGCCTCCACCTCCATTCAAAGCTGGATGTTGTGGTATCATACTTCTAGGCTCTCCTGCACAAAACGTCAACCAATAGCTTTTAATAAGAACCCCCAAGCACTTATTTTGCCTCTTGCCACTGAATCGTCTGTATCACACCACCCTAGCTAGCATTATCTTGAAAGCTTTTACCTGTTGTAATAGTATTGATTTGACTGTACTCATGAGTAGTCCAGTGCTCTTTTGTTTCTCTCTTCCCTGCAGGTGATTGATGTGAACGACAACCATGTGCAGCTGTACAAGTACATGTACCCTCCGGAGCTCCAGCATCATACCCTGGCCATCATCGGTTGTATCCAGCCGCATGGAGCCATTATGCCGATCTCGGAGCTACAGTGTAGACTGGCGACTCGGGTGTTGAAGGTAGATCGACCTATCTATCTATCTATCTATCTATCTATCTATCTATCTATCTATCTATCTATCTATCTATCTATCTATCTATCTATCTATCTATCTATCTATCTATCTATCTATCTATCTATCTATCTATCTATCTATCTATCTATCTATCTATCTATCTATCTATCTATCTATCTATCTATCTATCTATCTATCTATCTATCTATCTATCTATCTATCTATCTATCTATCTATCTATCTATCTATATCTATCTATCTATCTATCTATCTATCTATCTATCTATCTATCAATCTATCTATCTGCATCTCTGTCTGTCTGTCTGTCTGTCTGTCTGTCTGTCTGTCTGTCTGTCTCTGTCTGTCGGTCGGTCGTTCGGTCGGTCGTCGTCGGTCGTCGGTCGTCTGTCTGTCTGTCCTGTCTGTCTGTCTGTCTGTCTGTCTGTCTGTCGGTCGGCGGCGGTCGTCGTCTGTCTGTCTGTCTGTCTGTCTCTGTCTGTCTCTCTGTCCGTCCGTCCGTCCGTCTGTCTGTCTGTCTGTCTGTCTGTCTGTCTGTCTGTCTATCTGTCTGTCTGTCTGTCTGTCTGTCTGTCTGTCTGTCTGTCTGACTGTCTGTCTGTTTATTTATCTATCTATCTGTCTGCCTGTCTGTCTGTCTTCAGTATGTGTATAAGTTAATCTTTCTGTCTGTCCGTTCTGCCTGTCTATCTATTTATTTATACGTGGATCAGTTTATATGTCCGTCCTTCGATAGATTGATCGAATGACCAAACTGCCTGTCTGACATATAAGCAGTCTTGCTTTTTCTCTGAGTGTAGAATGGCGACCATTGGTCGCTCCTAGATGTACCCTTGTCTCCAGACCATACTGACCTATTTGTGCCTACGCATTAATTTCTTCACTTGCTCTAAAACGGCCTTAACCACATCTTGTTTTTCATACATAAATTCAAAAAACACGAAAATAAACATTATGCATTTGCACAATTTTATTGCGGTGTATATTTCGCTGCATCTCGCCAGGTGCGTTACTCCAGTTTCATCAATATCTAATGAAGCAAACAGATGAAAACCCCAACTGAAATACAAAATGGTCTCTTGCGATTCATTGATGTCAAATCGCCGGAAGTTCACAATAGTCAGGTCACTTACCAGCGAGTAACTTCAAATCGACTGCTGTCTTGTTCTGATAACATACGAAAATATTACACAATTGTTTTAATAAATAAATAAAGCTTTGGCCAGTCTCAAAATTCGCCTGTTTGGTGTGTGGTAGATCACACTGAAAGTACTTCCTTGTCAATTACATATCCGGATTCGGTACCAATCACGAAAATTACCCCACCTAGTGGGATTTTCCGGTACACTCCTATAGTCAAAGGGTGTCATGTGTTCCACGTTTTGACCTTTTCAGGTAAATCCACCAGCCACGACAGCCAACGCCAATGAGCGTAATAATACAAAAACATCATCTGTTTGATGCTCTCGTGGTGTCGCGTCTTAGGCGCTTTCCCAAGCAGTACTTCTTCCTACTGCGCAGGCGCCTCTTGCTCCTTAGACCTATTTGTTGCGAAGACAAACCTGCGACAGCCGCTTCAGATAGTGTGTGTACACACGGCGAAGCAAGCCACGTCGTAATATCACCACAAAATTGGACACCCCTTTGGAACTGGCACGACATGATTGGCAGCCGGAACGAAATCTCGCGCGCGAGCGAGATGGGTTGACTTTCGTGATAAGTACTCTGGATTCAAACAAATCACGTCCTTTAGAAGAGTTTTGAATACACACAAATTCACCACCCGTTGGTGCAGATCCACAAATAATGCATTCCGTCAGCATTCAGCCGTACTTGCACAGTTACACTTTAAAGACTTCTACTTTGATCTTTGTTTCTTTCCAAAAGGGTAACGTGGTGCTTCCTTCAAAGGATGACATGTGGAAAGACATAAGAAGCAAGAAGATTGCAATAGCTAAGCGGTATATCAAGTCTCGTAGACACACAATTCAAGTTAGCTATATCCATTTTATGGATGAGCTAGCCCGGCTGGTTGGATGTTCTGTGGATTACTGTAAGTGACACACATTGAGAGTTGTCTTTTAAGTATTAAAGTATTTTAAATGTCAAAAAATAGTTTACATTTTGGCATATAAAAATATGATGCAGACGATGATGATTAAATAATAAAAATTAACTATGCATTTGTGACATGCGATGAATATGTGTAATGGCCACTATTTAGGCAAGCGAATTTCACAGCCGGCGAGAAGAGCAATAGCAGTGCCCACTTTATTCGTTGTCGATTCCCGAAACCACTGAAAACAACGACTGCAACTTGAAGTGCAGTGAGTTAAAAGACTACTGAATGATGGAAGCAATGAACGGTCTTGAAAGGGAATGGGAAAAACAGAGAAAATGACTGCAGATAGGTTGACAGCTAAGTGCCTGAGTAGAAGTCCACCAAATACACGCAATGACAACAGTGGACCTGCAATCTATGCTTTAATTGTGGAAGACGTTTTTTTCCCAAAGCGGGCAGTTGTTAACAAGGGCGTAGGAAAGAGGGAGCATGCCGCCCTGGGTGTCATCGCTGAGGGGTGGGAAGATAATAAAAGTGCCGAGGGTGAGAAAAATAACGACTATAAAATGGAATATTTCGAAAGGGGTAAATAAAAAAGAGAAAGCCTAGACAACCACCAGAGAAGAATGCGCTATTTTGGACATACTTTGGGAATTAACCAGCAGAGAATCACGAAATAAGCACTTACTTAAGTGAGAAAGAAAGGGATTAAAGCATTTCATTTTTTAAAATCTGTAAAATAAACTGCAGCAATATTCCAATCATGTTTTCAGGGAGCCTCTTGAAGAAGGACCCAGTTCTGGCAGTAAAAGTCATCTTTGGTCCGGTCACACCTTACACGTACCGTCTGTGTGGACCTGGTAAGTGGGCGAGCGCTAGAGCTGCCGTCATGAACCAATGGCGTCGGATTGAAGCCCCGCTTCAGACCAGATCTTTACCGTCTGCAACATTCGGGCTCAAGGACAACTTTCTCAAACTGGCAGTTATTTTTATTGCGTCTTTATTTCTTGTTTCTTTTCTCACATGGATCTACTTCGTGGTTTAACAGACATTGTTTCGCAATTCCAACATGTTGGATTCAACTTATGTAGTATGGTATCGTCCGTGCCAAAAGCTGTGACCGACTCTAAAAATATGCAATTGAGTAACTTGTCGGGTAAATTGTCTGCAAATGGCAGTAACCTGATAAGAAAACGATTAAGACTGATGCTCATTTCTGTAAGGCTGTTCTTAATGCCATCACTCCATATTTTCCGAGGTCTTCCACTCGCTCTATACCCGTTGTAATGTTTTAGTGTGGATCGTTGTGGCAGATAGTCCCAGGGCATTCTTGTTAGGTGTCCAAACCACTTCATTTGTTGTTCTTTGATGACCTGTAATCAGCACCTATGCAATTGTAAATTATAAAATCCTAAGGACATTGGAAATCGAAGACCACGTTCACAAATTCGTGTTGAACCGTACAGGAAGTTTCTAGATATCTGTTAAAGTTTGAGGTCACGACTTCGAATTGGAATGTAGCAGATAATCTTACATTGATTTCGTCAGTTATATGAGCGACCCATTGCTCAAAAAGCCATGACGATCTTCTAAACTTAAACTTGCCAAATAAAAGCTGTCAAGAGATGCCATGGATAGTTTCTGAACTTAAAATTGCCAAATAAAATCTGTCAAGAGATGCAATGGATAGTTTCTGACTACATGTAGAGAAGTGGAGCTAACTTTTGTTTTGGTTTCGGATTGTCAGCAGATATTCATATGGATCCAATAGTTTGAATCATTTTATCAAGCGCAGTCTCTTCAATGAAAATTGGTTGTAATGGATCTCCAACACACTCTGACCTCTTGTCTTGTTCGTATGCTCTCCTGGACTACTTTTTTTAATTTTTTTATTTCTTGATATTGTCCTCCTAATTGTATTGTTTTCTACTCTTGCTGTCATGCCTTCGACTTTCGGTGTGGTTTTGAAAAGAGTGTTGCGTCTTTTAATGTGGTTAAAATATATCACTTGTCTCATTTTAAAATCTTTCAACATCTCTACTTTCATTGTCAGTCTCTTCAGGGCCTCTGTCTATCATTGTTGTCCGGCGGGTGGTCTACAAACCATGACGGACTAAGTAATAAACAGCTGACCATCTGTGTGACTTGCATGTGTTCTCATTGTTAAATATTTTAGGTCGTTTGACTGACAGTGATGTCTAGCACAGAATATAGGCTGAATACATGACTGGCTGCTATATAAGGTTATCGGCCGCCAGCTTGTTGTAGTAGATTAACTGATTTGGTACCAAACAACTCGTCATGCGTTTGTTGAGCTTTACTTACATCCGAACCAAGTTTTAGAACAAAACACCGTCACCTCTTTGCTCCAGCTGTATCCTGGGCGCAGACATAGGAATCTGGAGGCACAGGAACCTTGATTCCGCCCCCGCCCCCACCCCCCCCCCTCCCCCAACCAACAACCCCCCCCCCCCCAATTACGAGATGTCTAGTTAATAGTTATCAATGCGATGATTGAAACAGTTTTGTCTTGACGATATCTGCTGTTTGAGGTCTTACGTTGGACAAGGTACAGCGGAGATCACTCTCCGTGTCAAGCTGGCAACACCATTTCGTTTTCATGACCGTTAAAGCTCTGTGCCGAGAAGCAGACGTGAATGAGCGCACACAACAACAGCCAATAGACGTCTCTTAGTGCAGTCACAGTCTAACATATGATACTACAACATGGGTGAAAGAATCAATCAATCAATCAATCAATCAATCAATCAAGAGATGACATCACTGCACCCGGGACATTCCCTACAGGTAGCTACGAGTAGACATGCTAATAGTACCAGTTACAACCCGATTAAAAGTCCGTCCTTGTTTCTTCTTCATTGTTGAATATCCTCCAGAACATCTACACCCCCCCCCCCCTTTTTTTTTTACACCCTCTCCCCTCCCTCTCTCTCTCTCTCTCTCTCTCTCTCTCTCTCTCCCTGTTGAATTAGTCTTTCAGTGAATGGATTTTCTATCTGTTTGTGTGTGTGTGTGTGTGTGTGTGTTGTGCATTGCCCACTTAATTCCCATAGAGCCTTCATTACATCTGTTTTATCATATATTTGCTCAACGAACAAAGAAGCGGCAACATCTAATCTATCAGCCTGCTTGTTACATCGCACACCTAAATATCCTGGACACAAAATCCACTATTTGCTCTTGATTTGGGTCTTATTGAGGGATGTGTCCATTTAAGTTAAGTTAGTTGCGTATCGTTTACAGGGACGTTTGCG